AAATGGGCCAATTATGCCACCACTCCAAAATCCACACCAAACTGTGACTCTTGGAGGATGCATTGGTCTCTCTACGATTGTGTGTGGCTGTTCCGAGCCCCAAATCCGGCAATTTTGCTTGTTCACATATCCGCCGAGATGGAAATGAGCTTCGTCCGAAAAGATGATTTTTCGACCAAAATCGACGTCATTATTGAGCTGGTCTATAGCCCACACAGCAAACTGATATCGAAGCGGATGGTCATTTGCTTTCAACTCCTGAGTCATCTGGATCTTGTAGGCGAATAATCCGAGGTCTTTGTGCAGTATTCTCCTCAGGCTGGTGCGACTAATGCTCAGTTGCTGCGATCGGCGTCGAGTTGAAGTCGTCGGATTCTGTCTCACACTTTGGGCCACAGCCTCAATATTCTCGGGTGTGCGCACTGTCCGAGCTCTGGGACCACTTCTGTCATCCACTAACATCCCTTTCTCACGAACTTTCCTCACCAATTTGCGTATAGCTCCTTCGGTGGGTGCTCTATCACGACCCATATTTCTTTTCAAAATTCGTACAGTTTCGGCGACACAGCACTGACTTTGAAAATAAGTTTTTAAAATTTCAAAACGCTCTTCAAGAGAAAACATGTTGTTTCGTGCCGCGGACGGTATGACTAATAAACTGTCAAAATTTCGGGTCTGTAGCTCGTTCGGTGTTGCCATACGACGAAATTCAAAAACGTACCAATAGATGGCCCATCCTGTAGATACTGACACTGTCATTAAGCATATGACTTCGATTGGCAGAATATTTGTGGCAAAGTATCGACTTTCCTCTCGAGAAGGATTAGGTCAAAAAATTCAATATTTTTGACGTGTTGGCACATATCAGTAAATATTAAAAATTGACATTAATTCTCTAATGTTTAAGATTTTATAGAAAAAAAATATTAGCATTAAGAAAGCTAGAAAAATTTTCAATTTAAAAAAAGTTATTATAATAAATTAATTTGCGTTATCCGATGTCGTCGAAGTAAGATGTTCATTATTCTTGCAAATTTGCTTCAATTTTAATTAAGAAACCAATATATTCTACCACAATTTGGATTTCTACCTTCCTGCGTTTTTGTTCTCTCTTTTTTATTAACGGACTCTCAACATATCTGATATAACTTATAAGAATATTACTTTCTTACTACTTTGATTTCCGATTTAACTGACTCGCAGCACTACACAAAGTGAAAAATACGTAAAAGTGTATTTTATACACTTATAACGAGTTTTGTAATATTATATATGTTTACCGTAACAATGATCGAAATCGAAACGTATTATTTTATTCTTTGTAATTATTACATTATTTTCATGATTTAAATTAAAGTTCTTTGCTACATTACTAGCTCTTTGCCCTTCCTTTGCTTATATTGTTTAATAAATTAAAGTTTTAAAAATAACTAAATTAAGTTAAAAATTAATGCATTTAAAATTAATTCAGTTAAGTTAAAAGTTATTAACATTTTTTTAACTGTTTTTTTTAACTAGTTAATAACTCCAATCCCGTCAACCATAGTGATATTACGAAGAACAAACTGGATCAACAACAAGAATCTGCCATGGATCTCTCCCCAGATTCAGAGGGACCGAAGAGTCTGCGGACCGAAGAGACAACATCGTAGATCAACACGTCGTCAACATAACACCAATCATTACATGGTACCTGGCAGATACAATTTAAATGTCAGCGCCGAATATGGGTTCATCTAAAGGTACGATACCACGAAATGTATCGCGACAGGCGACCAAGCGACCGTTGAAATCGATTCAAGAAAAACGCCATTATGGGAATTCATAATGGTGAATCCAAAGCTGCAGTGGCATGCGATATCGGTGTACCAGAGTCTACGTTTAGAGGATGGTATAAGGCGGAAGACAAAATAATGTTGCAAATCAACAACATAAAAGCTTCGACAATACTGTCAGGAATAGATTTAGCAAAATACAAACAGCATATTCTGATCGAAGTCTGATAATAGTAACAATAATGGAGCAGGTAAGTCATCATCAAGATCGATATCAACGATCGAAGCAACAATGTTGTGGTTATCATCCACTTCTGGAGCTACTAGGAGAACTGAGAAGTTTGAAGCCGGTCCGTCAAGAAAATAAAACTCAAGAACAGTTCTACCGGCAGCACGACAACCAATAATATCTCAATATCGACTCGAATATCAGGACTCATCGTTCCTCAATCAAAAACATCCAAAAACGGTAAAAGTTACTAGTATAAAAGATAATAGTCTTCACCACATGTACCGCCCCCAAATAGTATAAAAGAAGTAACATTTTAAATAATAATAACAATAATATAGATAACGAGACTGCGACAAAAAATTATCCCGATATTTTGCTACCTTGCAATGAAGTGGAGTATAGCAACAAATTATTAAAATGGTTGCAACATATACACATATACATACAATAAAAGAAGTACATCATATACAATGTATTTCGGCACGTCTGCAAGATTGGATGAACCAAAAGTTAAAACAAGAACTCCCAAAGAACTAATGGGACGACCTAGTATGTATATAGCTATGTATATATAATTAAGACCAACCAACTTGATAGTATTTATTAAATCAAATAAGTAAAAATTCAAATTTTTTCTTGTGGAATAGGCCTACTGGGGAACCATATTTAAAAAAACGCAACTTATAATAGTACCTCATGGGTGTTGTGGAAGGCTACTGTGGAGATACATTATCATAATTACGTATATTAAAAAACTACGTATTAAAAACTATTTAAAATATAAGTATATTATTAAGGAACGAGGAATAAATTAATAACAGAAAATTTTATCTAATATTTTCGCATGGAATGCAAGAGATCCGGGTTCGACTCCCGACCGAGGTAATATTCTTCGCAATAAGAATTAGAAGATAATAGATAAATTATTTAATAAATAAATATCCTGGTCATGCTTTTAACAGGAGGCTTTTCTCTTTTTCTCCGCCGCTTTTCCCGATCACTAGCTCCGATTCCGCTTTTTACCATCAGATCTGCAACCTAGACCGATCCGCAATGCGACCCGGCGTAGAGCGTTCTCGACAGTCGGCTGCAGCCGCCGTTGTATCCCTACAGACCTAGGAACTAGACCAGGGGTTGAGTGTTCTCAGCCTTTGCTGAGACTACTCGCATCACATCCCGCGCCTCGCAAACACACGCCGCTTCCACGTTCGCGACAAGCAATTGCTGACGATATTTTCAGATCTTATATTCAAAACCGTCTTAAATATATTCTTAAGAAATCATAAATCAATTAGAGGACCGCGTTAGCGTCTTAAGGCATTCTTTAAAGACATGACTTAAAATAAGAACGAATTATGTAAATACCGTCCCAAGAATCTCTTTGCCCATATGCAAACAAGAGATTAATCGATTCAATTAAGTGTACCATAAACCACTTGCAATAAACAATTTTTGCGCTTATTTGTAGTCTTCAACTTGCTCTCCTGCAAAAACTACTTGTCAGACGCAATTTTGCAAAAGAAATAAGTTGTTTCTTTTAATGTAAAGTATAACGTCTCGTACTTCACGCGAATTTGAAAACGCTATATATTATTTGTTAGTTGATTGCCTGTACTGAAACTTCATAGATTTCATTACAATGCTGTACTATATTGACAATTGGCAATAATATATGGACGGCATAAATGATGGCGGGTTTCTTTGTAAGCAATAAATTTGATCATATTTGAACATATGTTTTTCGAAATAGTATCTTTTCTTGTCAAAATTTGTCATCCCTAAATCATTCCTCATCTTTAGTCACACTTAATTTCTAAAGGTAGAATTTTAATGCTCGTAAATTATGTCATATCACACTTGTGTCATAAAACACTGGTATTACGACAATTGTCATAATCTCAACAAACTCAAGTATCGCTTTTTCCGAATGATGTATTCAATAGTATGTTAGAGAGTTATAAAGTGGAATGTTGCTGACTTCATCCACTTCGTGGATTTATACAGTCTGTTGCAGTCACTCGTTCGTCAAATTTATTCCACGTGGCGTGTTATTGCATAGAGCACTGTATGTACGCCGCTTAAATCGTACTTTCGGGGCGCGAAAATACTCATTCCGCGCAACGACGAACATCTTATTGCGAGTTTCGCTACCGACGCAACAATTTTTAACGCCCATCGATCTGAGATCTTATAACGATTCAATGTACTTATTCTTTCGGAATGTTTGTAGAATGTTACGTGTATCGAAATACATATGTATATTTAAACATAATCACAAATTATAGCGTTTCTAAATTCTTATTCAACAGATATTGATCTTTTGGGACAAACTGAGACACTTATGGTTTACAATGACCATGACCAAATGACAACTTATACGGTTCTAGCCGATCTTTAACGCTTGTATCTCAATATAATTTTCTTCCTTTACAAAAAATAACTTTTCATTGTAAGATTCAAAAAAATAACAATGTGATTAGTCTTGGTTAACATAAATTATCAAATTTTGCGGAGTGTTAAAATGTCGAGACTATTATTATTTCCATCATCATCTATAAGGCAAGTGGACCCAAGAAGGTCTAAAATCAGGTAAATCTTTACAAAGATAGTAACGTATTCTTACAAATATTTTGTAATGGTTTTTCGATAAAAAGAAAAAAACAAGTGAAAAAACCAATTCCAAGTGTTCAAAGACTTGACCAAAGATATGAAAATAAACAAAATCGTCTGAGCGTACGAGTTTAAAATCGGTATTCCTAATTGGATCTTATATTTAATGCCGTCTTGAAAACAGTCTTAAGATGAACTAATAAGAGAGTATTAGCATGTTAAGATATTATTTAATACGATTTTAAAATAAAAATGGAGTACGAATATCAATCATAGGTATGATTAGAAAAAAATGACGTATTAAATTGATTTGTCGTACTTGGTGTCGACCAGTTGGGTCGAGATGTACCACACCGAGATGAGCTGAGCCACACAGAATTATGTATTTACCGAGTCATACCGATACACACAGGTAGATTGTGTTTCTTCTCGTTCTCTCGTAAAAGCTGTCGGCCTCTCCGTCGTTTTCCTACACCTTCGCTCTCAGCCCTGATGTCTAGTTCATAGGATGGCAGAGTCCCTTTCTCCATTTCACCTTTATTCGCCGTTCTTTCTCCTTCCTCTCTGCCTCCTTTCCACCTCTTAGGATGTCTTCCTCAGTACTTTCGTGACGGTTTTAACTGATAAATTAAATAAAGATAAAGTTACAAATACCTTACGGATTTAATAATCTGTATGAAGCGATGTAATAAATACATTATACTAGAGCACATCGGTGATAATTCGAGATTGATCTTCGAAATATGATCATCTCAAAATTTGATATGAGCTTGTGACAATTACAAAGTTGTCAAAGTATGTATGCAATGTGATAAAGACTCTAAATTTTTATTTAACATTTTTAATTTTATTCAAAGTATATATATACATATACGGAGTGTCCCATCTAACTCGAGTATCTGAAATATCTCGCGTCGTTTTTATAACTTAGGATTTAGGAAAAAATATTTCAGATGAAAGTGGAACGGTTTCAAGGGAGACGAATTTTGCGCATGTCCTTCTTCTAGGTAGAAACCTTAAAAAAAATATGAAGATCATCTTCATTTTTTTTATTGGAATTGGTATTTGGAATTGTATAATTTTCTTTTACACAATATGGAATTGTATAATTTTCTTTTACAAAATATGATTCGTTTAATCATTCTACAAAAGTATTCAGGTAGAAATATCAAAAAATCAATAGTTTACGACATATTTTGTACTTTATTTTGATATATATTAACATAAAATGTTAAATTTCTTTTAAACTATTAATTTTTTATATATTTAATAATAAATTATTTTCTTGTATCATATCTTATTTTTATAAACAGAATAGTTAGAAAAATCATATAATTTTATTTTTAAAAATGAAGATGAGCTTTTATATCTTTTGGGCGTCTCGACCTAGAAAAAAAACGTGTTCAAAATACATTATTTTCGAAATCATTTTACTTGTATATTACATTTTTTCGCATCCTTTATACTTTTGGAGATATTTCAATGTAAAAGTTAAAATAGGATATCCTGTATTCCTTCTTACATATGTTATTTTAACGTACTAAAGTAAGTATGTGATATGAAGAAATCAATAGTTTACGAGATATTTTATACCTTGTTCGAGCATATATTAACATAAAATGTTAAATAACTCGTAAACTGTTAATTTTTTAATTATCATATCTTAATACTTTTACGAACAGAATAATAAGATGAATCAATTGATGGAAAAAAAATACATAGTTACTTAAAGAAAAATATGTATGTAAAATGTATAATTTTTTTAATAAGCGATACTGTGTTTTCTTTTCACTAAATTTGATTCATCTCATTATTCTATTCATATAAAAGTATCAAGAAAAATTATAAAACCCGTAATAAGAAGAAATCAAAATTAAATAATTGGGTTCTCTATATTAAAAGACAAAAATATAATGTACGGACAATGAGAGCTTTACACAACGCGGGGAAGACAATATTTTTCGCAATAAGTTTATTACAGTTTTTTGAAATTAAATTTGGGAAATTTGGGGGGGATTAATTATTAATATTTCAGATTGATTACGTTGAAAGTCCGACAACCATATCGGTATGCAATTATTATTTCTGAAATTAATTCATTTTATTTATGACGCTGGTGTGTCACCTTGTATGAAAGGCTCGCCAAGCCAGTAATAACGACGACTTTCTTTGTTGGAACAATTCCGTGTTCGATAATTAAAGCGTTAGTTAGATGCGTGCACACGTAATTCAAACTTGGTACGACGTCGAGTAGTTTCTCACAGCCGTTTGAAAGAAAGTGTATTGCGAGCAACGAGACCGATAAATCTCGCCGGAGATTCAGGTAATTCTCGCGCACTGAATGCTCTCGCGGTATGCGTATACTCAGAACGTTACGTAACAAAAGGCAGCGTTACGCGACAGAGCTTCGGTGTGGTTCGCATTTAATAATTCGAGAAGAAACGTTACGAATGAATAGCAATAAATGATCCGGATTGTTCGGGATCGGGAAGCGAACTGAACGTTCACACGCGGAACGTGTGCGTGATCATCAACTTTTCGAGTGTTGCGAAAGGGGGGGTCGCGTGCCATCTGAGACAAATAGCGTGATTAAAGCAGGAGCGAGATATGTTTTGAACGATGATCACTTGGTGTCTATAAGCTGTTTGTTTACCATCGCTAAGAAAATATTCAAAATAACGATCATTCAGGAACATATTTATGAATATACATAATAGTTCAACATCTTAACATTCATAATGGCAATTTGAAATAATATATTTGAAATAATGTATTTAAAATAAATGGTCTTGTTTCCAATCTTATTAATAACTAAATTAAGGCATTTAGGAATCCGCGCTGTAATCGGTGATTATGATTTATTCAAGAAATAATAAGAAAATTTATTTAGAGAAATTATTTACTTTTTATTTTTTTTTTGTCAAATAAAATATGTAAATTAATACTCTTCTTGAAAATCCACGTGCAATTAATGAAATAATTATTAAAGTTAAATAAGTATTCATGATGATTAAAAAATAGCAAATACACAGAAGATTACGATTTCATGTCGACTACAAGAAGAAAGCTTGAAAGAACTGAAACACTGGAAAGCAGATTTCAGATTTTCCAACGCGTGTGCAATACATAATACACTGAAAAAAAGATACATAAATGTAAATATATTTATTATCAATTTGTGCGATGCACTATTAGATCCCTCTCGATTAAACAACACTCGCGGACACATTTAATCTCATTAACATTACGTTGATTTTTTACATGAAATCTAATGCTATTTGGTATTATAAAAGTCGTAAGACTATTTTTATGATATTACAATTTAAATGAATTTTTAAAGATACATACGTTAGTTAACCTTGCACATTTTATTAGTTAACGTTTTATTAGTTAACATCAATAAAATGTATTGCTAATAATTTAAATTCAATTGGTACTTAAAAGAGATAAAACAAATATTAAAGTCTTGTAATATGTACTATTTAATGAAAACTACTATAATTATTTAAATATAAAAAGTGATGCAGAACTAGTGCCTGATCCACATCTAATATTTTTACCCTAATTCAGACTTGAATATCGATGAATAATATCTGCGGAAATAATTTGTACACATGTAGTGATCTTTCAGCTATTTACTCATAAATGTTTGGTAATAAGAAAGATCTTAACTTTACTATGAACTTAACTTTTACTTTATTATGTTAATATTTAAAAAGGCAAATATGTATTTACCTTTCTAAATATTTTAAGAATAAAGATAAAATGTGTATGTAATCATGGGCAGAAAGGTAGCGACACTTTTTTCGACGATTTTTAGAACATTCAAAAATTTTCAGAGTGCGATTCACTATCTATCGATGCGGGTGACGAACGGTTATGACAGTTGTCAACGTCATCCCGAATAGAAGTGTAGGTACAATGTAAAATCAAGAAACGTATCTTGTCCGCCGCGAAAAAATATCAATTCGACATCACAAGATTAAAATTTAGGGTAAGCTTAAAAGAGTAAACCAGTTAGATAAAATTATTTTGTAAATTTATTTACATCCTTTACGCGAGTTTAATATTAAAATAATTAATATAAAATAACAAATAATGAAATTATAATACGTAATAATAAATCATATATTAATTTTTTATGCAAAATATAGCTGTTCGGGATTCTGAACACAGAATAGTATTTTCATTTTCAAGACATTTTTGTTGATAATATATAGAGACGACTAATTCAGCTGAGCTTCATTTTGATTTGCAGCCTTGTCATAAGTCTTCTTATTTCAAAATGCTCATGTATAAATTCTTTTCAAGCATATTTATTACTTAAATTTATTAATTAAATTGTATATTAATATAATAGTTACAATTTTTTAATATTGTTACGTCCGGGTGTTCGGCTTACGGAGACGTCCTTGGGAACGCGTTTACGCACTCTCGACCCGTAGAAATGAATAACACGGATATTATAAATAAAACAAGAATTTATTATGAAATGAACATAGGACACACACAAACACACACGTAAAGTTCAGAGCACACGATCGATGAAAGAATAAGCGAATCAAGAGACACCGAGCAAGCGACGGCTCACGTCCAAATCTGACGATTTTGTTAATGTAGCGAATGTGAAGAGTGGTGCCACGAAGGTTATCCTAATAGAAAAGATAAAAAAGAATCATTTACTTGAAATTTGTGTAGTGTTCTTAATCCGAAAAAAACAAAATTCTCGGAAATTTTGAGAAAAAACCGGTTTTTCTGGTTTTTTCCTTACCATATAAAAAAATCATACAATTCTATTTAAAAAAACGAAGTTGACCTTGAAATCTCTGAAGCGCCTCCACCTGGACAAAAATTATTATCACTACATAATAGATCCCTTTACGCCGTATCATTTTGGTTATATAACTTTTCTCTCTCTCTCTCTATACAACTAGATCAGAAGATATTTCAGGTAGTAATAGTCATTGAGATACCCTGTATAAATTATATGCGGAAATGATAAGGTACAGATTAGAAATGGAGGTAAAAGCAAAAGGTCCTGAACAGCCAAGCTAATTTCAGAAGAGGAAGGTAGATCCTGTATACATTTTCCTTAGACATTTTTTCATAAATTTTATTTAAAATTCACGATAAGGTTGAAATAGACCGTTTTTGACGCATCTGATAGTTATTCTTTTTCAGTTAATTTGAATTTGCATGGAGCTTTAGATTTTTATGTCTTTATAAATAATCATAATTAATTACATATAATTTTACTTTTAATCCTTCTTCAGATATACCTTGAATCGCGATTGGATTAATTTAGACTCGCGGTTCTAACATTAATAAATGTATAATAATTGTAAAATTGATTTTTTTCATGTTGAAATTCCTAACTTAAAATTTTATAAATTGCAATTTTTAGAATTTTGATTAATTATATGAAAAAAGATGTGGAGTAATTTACAAAAGAATGTTTTATATTTTAACACATTTTTTATTACTTTACTTTTGAAGTTATAATCTTCTTTAATACAATTTCTTCCATCGATGCCAAGCAAGTGCACAATAAGTATTTCTGTGTGTTGCGTACAAAATAAGAATTTTTCTTTTTTCTTTTAAATTTTAAACATTTGTCTATCAAAAATCAGAGATACTTCTTACCTACAGCAATATTAGTAGGCGAGATCAAGTCAGCAAAGCGATTAGATCTGCTCATCGAATAATTAAACGTGATTGATTGGATTTTCATAGATAAGAACCACTCGTGCTCGTTCGCTCGGCAAGGATGTCTAACTACTTTGCCGGGTGAAATTCAACTATTGATTTCACACGTTTAGCTTCAGTACATAAGACGATTTCTTCTTTACATCATCTCTGTTGATAATCAAACTTTGACGATAATACTGAAATCACAATTTTAAAGAAAAATCGAGTATTAATTGAGTTATAAATGCATAATTACGTCTACTAAACTAATAAATCATAAAATTAGTAATATTATCCATTTTTAATTCTTAATCACTTTATTCACACGGATACGAACATAAGGATGTCGATTTTTAACAGTATCTCGTTAGTGCTTATATGAAAATTGACACGTACGTGTGACTGCGTGTATCATAGTATGCGTGAGATAATGCTGTGGTAATATAAAAAGACATATGATGTATGGCGCGCCATCTAGTAATTCGTTCGAGCTTTGCTTTAGGATCCCTTTAAGGTAACACATTTTTCATTACAACAAATATAACATCGAGACTTTTCATTATTGTAAAATAATTATTGAAATAAAAGATTTTTCACTCTTCTCATGACAAGATTTTTAATTAATTACAAAATTTTATTTTTCTTCTATTGTTTTCAAAATACCTAAGAATCCTTAAAAAATAAAGACAACTTCCCGCAAATACCTTCGCTAATAAATACGGATATAATTACTAGTAAATAAGCATATATTTTGTATATATAAGTTTTCGAATAATAATATTAAATATTTTTATTATCTGTATTCCACTTGATGCTGCTATCTACGTACGGTATTTCAACCGAGGTATGATACACTTGCCGTATCACGTTGTCATAGTGACCACGGCTTGTTTGCATATCGATGTGAATTTAAATCGTGGTTTCATAATCACGCTAATAAACATTCGCGGTCAATCGGTTTAAACGCATGATTTTACAGTCTACATCGAATAATTAGATTGCCGTCTCAATGAATGACATCGTGACAAATCTCGTGATTGAGAAGCAATTCGATTTTGACGATCTACATCCATCGTCGCTGGATAAATCCGGAGGACGAGCACGACATAGAGGAATCCACCAGTACTGTCGTGGAGATTCTGCAGCAAATGCAACGCGAATTGTGCCTGATCATAAGATCAGCTGATTAGGCTATTGCAGAGTTAAAATACGTGAAATCATGTAACATTAAAAAAAAATTGTTCTAAATATTATTAAGATTCATTTAGATTAATAATTCGTATCGACATTCATAGCAAAATTTTATGTATAATTCTTATAATCTGTGAAAACTAAAAGCAATCAAGAAATTTGTAAATATACTTGTATCAAATACATAATATACATTAAGGATCAGGATATATACATAAATTATTACAGACGAAATAGAGATCGACAATAATGGAATTTTTCATCTTGATAATATATAAGATTTCGCACGATAATTTGATTAAAAATATTCTTAAAAATATAATAAGGATTACTTTTCTAAGGATTAAAAAATACAGACAAACTTTATGGATTTTTATATTTATTTATACTTTTTTTTACTTTTTTTACATTTGGGTTTTGTACAAAGATAAAACTAATTTTTACAAACTAATAAGATAAGACTAATTTTTACAAAAATTAAAAGATCAGAACTAAAATATGTACAGTAATCATAATCAATTATCATTAAAA